GGTGATTAAGAAAACTAATAGCACAAGTCCATTTCACTTTTGTTTGTAGATATTTGTGGTGTTTAGAGTATGAAAGCTTTTCCCAGTGCTTTAAACCCCACTGTACCTTTTGTGTGCTTCATGAAATAGATGACAAAAAGACAACTGTCTAAAAAGTTCAGGAAGAACACTTGGAAGAAGATGGCAAAGATGATATAAACCCCTGCTGCTAATTCTGAGAGCATTTTCCATTGTGGTTTGTGTTTTCCTGGGAAGTACTTTACCTAGAAGTAATGAGTTTTGGGCCTTTAGTCCCTAAGCCTTTCAGTAAGGATTGGTTAAGAATTAATTTCCTTTCTTTCTACCTTGTATTTGTTATGTCTTAATAGTCTGCAGTGACAAAGGGGTATAAAGTCATTGTTTCTGAGTGCTTTGGCTCCTCACCTTGCTGGTGCTCTAATAATTAGTTAAGTAGTAGAATTAGTTAAGTATATATGTGTTAGTTAAGTGTATATACATACACATATCCATTAGTCTATTCTTTTGACAAAGGCTGTACAAGCTTTCAGTATTTCTGCTGGTGGTGCCAAGGTAATTCAGCTGTCTAGAAGAAAGCATACAGTGAGGTGTGGACAGAGCAGAGACAGGGACTGAGAAGAACAGGATCAGAGAGAAGAGAGGAGCTAGCAGTCGTTCAAGCAGTGGAGAGGACCATGCTGACATTTTGTGCTGGGAGGGATGTATGTGAGAAAAGAACGGGAGGGCAAAAGTCTATACAGGGGAGGGACAGAAAGAACTATGACATAAACTTGCTCCCACAATTTAAAATAGAATATGCAGCATCCAAATTCCAAAATGTATCTGCTGTCTGTAAATAGCAGGAAATTACCGAGAAGCTCGTCTGATAAGGGGGTCCACATAGAGAATAATAGTCTGCGTCTGATAGTAGAAGGCTGGTCAGGTGTTAAAACAATAGCATTAGTTTTAGGAGCTGTAAGCCTGCTTCTCTTACAGAACTTCCATGCAAACTTTGGCAAGTCCCTTAACCTCTCCTTACCCTTATGATTTTGTGGGTCAGTTACCAACTTTAGAGGCCTTGTGTGGATAAACGTGTTAAAGCACCACGTACCTTAGATGATTTTGTGTTGTTTGGCTTTGGGGTTTTTTTTCCCTTTTTCCTGCAGGTGTGAGGAATAGAGATCTGTATTAAATAAAAATTCCATTTTGTAACTATGTTTTGCACAAGGTGTGTTATCTGAAGTTTCTGTAGCTGGAGATTCTGTGTCAAATAATTCTATACATTTGCAACTAATCAGATCATCTGCTAAACATTCTTATGACTTCTTAGTACTTAATCTGTAAAGTCAAAATCAGACCTCCAAATTATTTAAACAGGCTTCAAGTTGATAACTTTGTTTTCCAAGGTGGCTTTGGCCACCTGTGCACAATCATACACGTGATTAATTTCTTTTAATAAATCTTGCCTCAGCTATAGTAGCCCTATAATGGGACCTGGCCATAAGGTAGCAGATGATTCATTGGGAAGTGGCAGGCAGAAAATAGTAGAAATAGAAGAATAAAACAATCCATTTAAAAGAAATACCGGTTTTGCCATATACATCTATGCAGGAAATAGTCGTCTTGTTTCTTGGGTGCTCCACCTCAGACAGAAAAGCGAAGTTCTTTTTTCCAGCGTGCAAACACCAAGTGTCTGTTACCAAACAAGTTGTATTCCTTTGGATGCAAACAAGCCCTTTACAGCATTGTCAGTAGTTTGGGGAAACTCATTTAGGCATTATACTGCCTGAAGTGCAAGTAATCATCCACATTTGCACAGTGACCGGTGGCACAATGATATCCTGTTAATACAAGTAAATATGAATAGCTTTAATGTGTGTGATTAGGCTTTGATTGAGAAAATTATTTTTGGTCAGGATAGCACTCTAGCATGTATTGGACTTCATTAGTTTTTCTTGGTTGTTTTCTAGAATTACTATTGTAAATTTGGATAATTTGTAGGGTTTTTTTTAAATTTATAAGCAAGCGAAAAGCCTGATCAGACTTCAGAAAAATAGACTGGGCAAGTGATAGCATTTTTCATAGACGTGGGAAAGCTTTGGGAGAGGAACCATCATGTAAGCAGAAAATTGTAGTCCAATTCTCAAAACTTCTTTCTTACCTCTCAGTTAATTGGCATATGCATCTTGTAAGCATCCATATGGAAGGCAAGACTGTTGCAAAGGAAAAGGCATTGACAGTTCTTGAAACTGTACTAAATACGTTGCTAAGTTGGTGTTAATGGTGATTTAAAATAAAAAGTTGCTTCTCATGCTTTATACAGTTCACATAAGTTTTGTGGGGTTTTGTTTTTGTAATAGATATTGAAATGAGATGTCCCTGCCATAGTTGTCCTGAATTTATGGCAAGATAAGTGTGCACTGTTTCATGGCAGAAAAGATGCCAGGTTGGCTCTTACCTCACCACAAATTCAGGAGAACTGTCTGACAAATAACTTGCCTGCATGCAGTTTTCCAAAGCAGGACTGATACGTATATTCCTACTTTTATATGCATGAATATAATACTGGAGAGGCTGTGTTTTGGTTTTCCAAACCTCACCGATCATGTAAAACTGATGTTAACTCCGTATGCATTGTATTTTACCTAAAACCACAAGAGTGCTCTGGTAGTTTTGACATGGGTGTCCAAGGAAAGTAACAGTTTAGGTTTGGCTCTAAAACCAAAATAGTAATATGGATGTAGTGTTCTGTATCTGAATAAAAGCTTTTGCTGCCAAATGGACAATGGCCAATTTAACAAAGAGTGCTTTTTCTTTTCAATTAATATATTTTTAGAAGAAAAAGGAAAAGCAAATCTTTACTGTAATCTTTTAAGACCTAGAATGTATTTTTCAAATATCCTTGGAGACATGCAATCCATGAAGCTTCAACTATTTTTGTACAATTACAGTTTTAGATGAATTGTAAACTCTTAAATTAAAATTACAGGCTTCTTTCTAAGAGTCATAAAGGATTAGAGACAGTTGGAAGCAATTTCAAGGGGGAGCTCTAGAATGAAAGATTTGCCAAGGGTTTGAATAAAGGTGCTAATCAAAATGTAATACTTCTAAAGCTGTGTTTGCTACATAAAACACACTGCAATGAATGGGCACTGAATGGGGTGGTGGAAGTGTTTAGGTTTGTTTTCTGTTGCAATTCTTCTTGAAAGTAACTGTCATGTTTAAATATTGTGGTGTCCAGAGGTAATATTGTTCTGTGGCTCTTGCAAGACTTGGCTCTATGCAATTTAACCCTCATATGTTTATGTAGGAAATCGCTTTTTCCTATGTTCTTTTTGTTTGTTTTTGAGTGTTTTTTCAAGCTTTTTAACTTCACCTATCTGCAAACATCATGCAAGTAGAAACTAAGCCTCCCATCCAAACTTTCTCAGTGGGAATTCAATCCTGTTTTGTAGCACCTCTCTGCCTATTCCTTACATAAATTGTTTTTCTGATTTTTGTTTTTTTTTTTTTCAAGTTTGCGATGATATCTGCTGTCTTGGGGACAAAATTTGTTAATAGTTGCTTATAAAATTCATAAAAAGAAGACACTGTTCTCTACAACTAGGATAAATTCCATAATTTTTCTGAATTCTTATTCATTAGACTTTTCTCAGTTTTAAAGTTTCAGACTTGTTGCAAGGTAAAGTAAAAGTTTTAGAGCATGTCTTTTTTCAGTAATAAAGACAATACCATTAAACCTCACACACTGTGTTCTTTTCCGTCTGATAGTTTGTTATTATGGTCAGAAGAGCATTTTCAAAAATTAGTAGGAATTTGGGATTTTAGGTTTCAGGTGTGCAAATATTGAAGAGAAATTATACTTATGTGATGGAAGGAGGAAGCTTGATGATTTCTTATCATACTGCATTAAGATGACTGAAGCTAAACTCCCTGAAACAATAGGCATTGTTGAAAATACAGACTCCAAGTTAACTAGCATCTTGTAGGTCTCTGCTCCTGTTCTCTTCCAATTTTGTCTATGATGGCTTTTTGCTTGGTGACACTTCAGGTCATCTAGTTTTATATGGGTTTTTTTAGTCTCTTTCTGCTAACTTACAAAACTATCACCCAGGAGTAATTTTACAGGAATTTTTAATAGATTTTCCTGAACGTCTTGTTAAGGTTGAGAGGGCAGCATAATTTTAACACCAAAACTGTTTGAATTGAAAGTACTTCATGAATGGTTTTCAACGTAACAGTGGGTGGTGTTACTAGATTTAGTCTGAACTTTTCCAGAGGAACACGTTTCCTCTAAAAAGTGCTACTTTGTCAGAATTCTTCAGTTATGACAGTTTTGATGAAACTGATGGCTATGAAGTAGATTCCATCTACACAGCTTTGTGGGGTCGTTTGCCAGTTTGTGAACGTAAGTCCATGACAGCCCTCAGGGACGCTACAAGAAAGTCACAAATGAAATGCTGCTTTGGAGACAGGTCTTTGAGCAGATTGTGCTTTCTGGGTTCCCAGTTCCTTGGTTCTGAGCTGAAGGGAGAACTTCAGATAAGCTTCAGATAAAAAGATGAAATAATATGTCTCTGACTTTTTTTCTTTCTCTTTGTTTCTTTTTTTGAGAAATCTCAGTATTGTTTACTGATTTTTGGAGAAAAAGAGATTGTAATTTGAGTAGTCTGTTGTTTATAGTGATCCTCAACTTTGAAAGAATTAATTTGTTTAGTTGAACTTTTAAGTGGTGGAGAAAGAGGTGGGAAAAATGACACTTCTAAACTGTATAAACTGGGAGAAAACTAATATGAATAGACATCTTTGTAACACTAGGACAGTGAATAGTCATCACGCTCTGCTAAACATTGGAGCTCTATGAAGATAGTACTGTCTGACTGAATTATCTATTTTTTTTCTTTAAATGTATAATGTAGTGTCTTTAATTCATATTCAGCGAGAATAAGTTTTATTAAGTATAATTTTTTCCCTGTACTTAAGCTTTTCTAATCTGTCCCTAGATGATCTCAATATGACACATCAGCACTGTGTTCTGGCTGGTTTTTCACCTCGGTTCAGCTCAACTCACAGAGTGGCAGATGTAAGTATCAAAACCAGTTTGCTGTTTGGTCATTCATAAAGCCATTATTCTGGTACTGTATATGTAGCATCATGTTGTCTTATCCAGAACTGCAGTTCACAGTTGTCTCGAACAGCTGCTATTTGTTTATTTTTGGATTGAGGTGCATTTGTTTCTGTATTGGTAGTTTGCCTAAACTCAGAGTTAGGCATATAAGATATGAATTAAGAATGTGCTACACCATACCTCATGGATGACTGATGAAATGTAGAAGTAACTGTATTTTACCTGAAATGTTTTAAAACCTTTTTGCTGTGTTCATATCCCGGTCCTAGTTGAAAGGCAATATTCATGATGAGATAGAAATACTCAAAACACATTATGTCAGCAGTGTCCACTGGCAAAAATGGCCTTTAGGAGGTCACAACAACTAAGAGCAGTCATGAGTATGCTTTAAATTGGATCCTTCTAAGGACTGAAGAAGCAGGAAAGTGATATGGAGTCCCTTGTCCCAGAGTCATTCTGAGATAACAAGGCTTCAGCCTGATATTCTCAAGTGCTAAGACAGCTTTATTTATTTATTTATTTATTAGTAAACCTCTCCTCCCTATTTCTTTCCATGATGTTATCAGTAGTTTTGGTTATGTAGTATTCTAATGGGAAAGCATACAGAAAAATAGAAATATGCATTGTAAAAAGATATTTTAAAAAATTACAATGACCACTTTCTTCTTTCAGCAAGGCACAATATACCACTACTGAAACAAGAGAGATACATGTATCCATATACTTCTTTTTTTTTCCCCATTACTCTTCCTAATTTGTGCTGGAATGGAGAGGAAGCAATAGCACCAAGCATGGACATATACATACATATACGTTGTAATATAGAAAAAGTGCCTTTATTTCCCAAACAAATATACCCTCTGCTTGGTTGAACTGGGATTTCACATAAAGTTAAACTACACTATACATTTTAGAACAAATAATTCTGTATTTTTCATCTCTCATTTTAAGAGTGCTCTGACCTACTGCTCCTCTCCTGTCTCTGTGTCACTTTTGCAGGAAAATGCACACTTATTTTCACAGTATGAAAAGCTTCTCTATTAAGTGATTATGCTTTGTTTTTGTAAACTGTTGTGACTTCAAGTTGTATACTATGGATTTTTTTTTTTTTTTTACAAAGAATATGAGACCAGGGGGTCTTTATTACAGATTATTCCTGGAAATTTAACTGAAGGTACAGATATTTAATTGAAAATAATTAAAAGATGTATATCTGTTGTCTTTCTTTTGTTTCAAAAGGATTTTTACAGATTTCCCTCTCATTTTGAAGGAAATCTAATGAAAACAAAATAAAAGGAGCAGAAGTGCAAATTTGCTTTGTTCATATTCTGTATACCTTGTAAGGAAACAGCTCTTTCAGAGTGGATGTGGAACTCCACTTTAGTGTTACTGGGAGCCCATACAGCTGGGCAAATACAACTGATTCTGAAATATGGTGAAAAACTGGCCAGGAAGTAATTGGGAAGTATGGCCATGTTTTTGTATGCCATATTTTTAAAGTAAATTTAAAAGGAATTAATTTCTTTTTCCTTTCAATCTATGCTGTACTGGCTGGCTAGATGTCTGATGGCTTAGACTTTTGCATAATTTAGATCAGCGACTATACACACAATCCAGGAGGCATTATGCTTTTGTTTAACAGATTGTGAAATAAAGTTACAGAAATACATCCCTTCTGCTCCTTCACTTTGATTAGTTCAGAAGCAAATAGTTCAATATATTTAAGAAATGCCTATGTTCTGAAGTGGCTATATATAAATTTTTTATTGTATCTTTATAGTGTTCAAAAGGAACATTGGAATACATATTTGGACAATGTGAACTTGCACTCCAGAATTTACAGACTGATTCTGATTCAATGGATTTATCTTTGAAATCACTGGAAACTGCAGTTGTAAAGCAAGTAGAAGAAATACATAATGAGGTGAGATGATCTTCACTGAAAATACTTCAGCCAGATTCTGAGCGGTGCAGTCTGCTCATGGACTTAATGGCAATTAAGTCTGTTCAGCTGCTTACAAGATGTTGCTCTGTATCAGTTTGAAATGGGGGCTTATGGCTTTTTTACTTGGGTACAGTAATTGGGATTAACTTGGATTGATACTTTCATTCCCGTGAAGTTTTTATTTTTCCTTCTTAAGATCCCTCTGCTGGTAGAGTAAAAGAGTAGTTTCAGTAAGATTATGCCAGATCTGATAGTGTGGTGGACAAACCAAACTACTCTAGCACTTCTCTAACAAAAAGGGAGAGAGAAAAAAATCAG